GGTTAGCTGGGAACCACTATCCAAATGGACACTTCATGGCTGGAAGAGACTTGGTGTGAACTTATCCATCACTGAAGATGCTACTGGGACCTTTGAATTGCTCATTTGTACAACATTTACACATATATCATATGTGGGGAAGAAAAATCCCTGAGATTAGACCAAAGACCTGCACGTTTTGTTATTAACACCTCTGGAACCATAACCAACAATATGTATATTTCATGCAGCATCTAATAGCATCCACCCCTGTAGCAGGCTCTACCCTAATGGATCCTTTTACTCCTATTTTGACCTTCACCATAAGATTGGGAGGAATGTATGATTATTATATCATGTTTGCTGTGGAGGTGAAAGATTGAGGCAGCACGTGACTTGCTCAAGAACCCGTGGCTGGCAAGTGGCAGAACTGACCTTGGCCCTGGAATATACTCTCTCTATCATCCTTCCCTCAGGCACATCAAGGTGGTCTTGGGGAAGAGGTGTGGGTGTATGACCTTGGGGAATTGACTAGCTGCTTTTCCTCCTGAGAGGAAGAAGGCTGGGCCTTGCAGAGAGGTGTACAGCCACAGAATGGTAAAATCCTCCAGGGAAGGGGACCTAGTCCTCGCTGGCAACCTGGATGAGTGTCCTGACAATTCTCGCTGTTAGGAATTCTTTTTCCCCCCGAGTGCTCTAAAACCCTTCCCGCTGGAGTTTAAATCAGGAGCTTCTCACTGTCTACTAGGTGGGGGAGAAGAACAGCTGGTTACAGTATTATGTGTGCAAATCCACAGTTCTTTGAGAAATGAAACACACACACACACACACACACACACACCCCAAACCCCATTCCTCCATATGCTTTCACTATAGAACAGTGAGAAACTCAATGGGATTATGTTGTTTTTTTTCCCCCCTTTGGAAAATATTCCCCAGATATAATGCAAATTAACTGTCAATTTCCCCACAATGATTTTTCCTAACAGTTAATTTCTGTGTGTGAATTCTACAGTGAAATGGTGGATTTTCTTAACTCATGCAGTTTTAGCAGTCTTGGCCTATCACCTTTTAAAGTTATGAACTAACCCTCTTACAGAAATGCATACTATAGACCATAAATTACTGGGAAAAAGTCCGTGAACAGCAGGGTTATATAATATTGTCTTCCCAAATCTTGAGGTGTTAAGTACTAGGTTTCAAATCTGGAACAATGTGTGTATGCGCCTTAGTAACTTGACACATACAACAAGAAAGGCTGCTCAGTTCCATTTTTACATTCATTAAAAATGGCTGTTTTTTGTTTGTTTGTTTGTTTGTTTTGGTATTGGAGATTGAACCCAGGGGTTCTTACCCGTTGAGCCACATCTGCAGCCCTTTTTATTTTATTTTTTTTGAGATAAAGTCTTGCTAAGTTGCTCGCTAAAATGCTGAGGTTGACTTTGAACTTGAGATCCTCCTAAACTGCTGGGATTACTGGCATGCACCTCCGTGCCAGGCAGCCCTTTATATTTTGAGATAAGTTCTGACTAAATTGCTTAGAGCTTTGTTAATTTGCTCAGGTTGTCCTCAAACTTGGGATCCTCCTGCCTCAAGTCCCAAGTTGCTGGGATTACAGATGTGGGCCACCAGACCCAGCTTTTGTGCATCAGAAAGTAACAAGAACTCTCCAGTACACAGTTGATTTCCAGTTGAGTCATACCTGAAAGCCACGGCATGGAGCGGAGTAGGGTGGAGCCAGGGAGGTGGGGAAGGAAGGAGGAGTCACGTGGACCCAGAGAGGTCCTTCCATGCTTCCTCTCAGGGAACTTCCCATGTCCTGGCCTCCAAACTGGCCTTTCCTATCAGAACTACCAGCAAGAAGACAGGTAAGCAGAAAGGAGGACCTATGAAAAGACCTGGGAGGTGGGTGCAGACTTTCAAGGAGGGGGAGGAAAAATCACTGCTGACTTTGTTCCAAAGGAGAGAAGGTCAGGATGCTGAGAGCCTGGGAGAGGAAGACACAGGGGGGAAGGAGAGGGGCAAGAGGAACGGAAACAGATGTCAAGAGGGAAAAGCAGCAGAAAATATCACCCATCTCAGGACGGCTGAGAAGCTCAGGGTACCCGGCCTCTACCCAAGCTGGATGCTTGGTGCCCCATCTCACCCACTCACCTCACCCTTGATCTGGGTACTGAGGACAGGATTAGGGGAACTCAAAAAACGACATGCAACCTTAACATTTCCACTGTGTCCCTTCGATATTGAACTCATTGAACTGGCTCCAATCTCCTTTGCCTGCTCCTTCTCCATCTGCCTCCCTTCCCGCCTTCTTCCTCCCCCAAGGGCACCCAGCAGGTGCATGATCCCTCTGGGCTCTGCTTCCAGCCCTTGCCCACCTCTCTGGCTGCCCTTCCTGCCGGAACGCTGTGACTTGGCTTCCCAGAACTGGCAGCTTCTCCAAACAGATCATCCCTCCTGCTCTGCAGTGCATGGTGACTTCCTGAGACTGGAATGACAAAACCAACCTTTACTGCCTAGCTCACGTGAATGCCAAGGGACGTGCTCAGCCCTGGACACCACACACAGCCCATCCACTGGGCACAGCACGGTCCCCCTTTTCCTGGGAAGTAAATGGGAGCATTGCCAGATTAGCAGACTTGAGGGCAGTGGGAATCCATTATATAAGAAAAGAGAGGATATTAAAAAAAAAAACAACCCTAGTATATATTTAGTGCCTACTGTGTACCACGCTACACTAGGCATGGATGTGTCTTCCAGATCTCAGACGTCATGATCTGATCAATGTTTAGACAAGAGGAGAGACATTGTGTCTTCTGCAGATTTTATTTATTTGTTTTTTAAGCCACAACATTTCTTGGGTTTGATACGGTAAAGGAGTCTCTCTCACCTGTCCCCTATCCTACTGTCAATCTTCTTTTTTTGTTGTTCCTTGGCTTGCAGCTGTTTTCTTCCTTTGAGTCACACAGAACCGCTGGCAGGAAGAGCTCTTGAGAATTGGGGAAGAAAGGGGAGGGAGGAGAGACAAAAGTGAGAAGCAGAAAAACATAAGGAAGAAATGTGTCTTCAGGAGTGTCAGGAGGTAACACACCTCTAGCTAGCTTCCCTTCCCCTCCTTCATCCCTGGCCAGCTCTTCATCATTTTTTTAACATCTCTTTGGGGACAGGGACATGAAAGCGATCCGCAGGTCAAAGGTAGGAATTCGGGGTTCTGGTGTCCTTTGTTGGGTGGCCTCACTTCTCCTCTGTGCCCACGCCTTCCCAGGAGCGGCCTGCTCTTTATTCCAGTCACATATTCGGCTCTTGGATGACAGCATCACACCTTCCTCCATCCCATTTACATTTCAAACTGCTCTTGATTAATTATTTAGTAACCCTGGCCACTCTGGAGTGATCGAGAGCTCACGTTTCACGTAAAAGGTCCAATCCCTTTTTATCCAAATCTTCCTTGAACCCATGTGTAGTTTTCTAAGCGAACCGCCTGGGCCCTTCTGTAGCAGCCCCTGGCACATGTGCCGTGGTGGCCTCCTTTCTGTGTGGCAGGACACACGGACCAGGAGCTGCCTGTCGGGCTCCTTTTCTGCCCACCTCTGACCTTGGTCAACTCCGTTTTTAAAATAAGTTAAGTCACAGGGTTTGGAATGCATGATCCCCAGTTCTCTTCTATCTTTAATTATTGGTGGAATCTGTGGGAAGAAGTGGGGCTTTAACATTCAAGAGAATTTTGGGAGGGTCCCCAGCTCTGGCACTATTTGCTATGTGACATATTGGGCTGGTGGCACACCCGGTCTGAGCTTTTCTTCCTTGATGTCTGCAGTGGTTATGGAAATACACAGGTGGCAAGGGTATTTAGGGTCACGCATCAAGTGGAAACCAGAACAATACAGACTGAGGTCAAACCTGGAGACAGGTGGTGTCCTAAGGATTCCAACTCTCGGTGCTGCACAGAACAAGACCTCAAGAACAACTAGATGGCTTTCTGTAGGATACCTTTATTTTATGTAAAATTCTTACCAATACTGATGGAAGGAGGTGGGAAAAAATGGAATTTTGAGTTTGTAGTCTTTAAATTTTTGAATTCTCACCCTGACACTTGTCAATGGCATAATTTTGCAAAGAATGTTTTATTTTCTGGTCCTCAGTTTCATCTTCTGAAAAATGGTCCCACTTAGATCCACTTGGGGAGATCTTGTGAAAACAATTACAGGGATAATTTGTTGTAGATAAACAGGTGGCACATACTAGGTGGTTAACAAATGATTTTGCTTCTTTAACATTAGGATAATATGTTCATAAATATATTTGATCAAATATATCAGTTCTCAAAGGAAAAAATAAAACAGAGACAGAAGGACAATTCTGGTTTTTCTATTTTGTTATCAAGAGTATTATTGGACTTCAGCTGGGTGCGGTGGTGCATGCCTGAAATCCCAAAGGCTCTGGAGGCTGAGGCAAGAGGATTGTGAGTTCAAAGCCAGCCTCAGCAAAACCAAGGCACTAAACAACTCAGTGAGACCCTGTCTCTAAATAAAATACAAAATAGGGCTGGGGATGTGGCTCAGTGGTCGAGTGTCCCTGAGTTCAATCCCCAGTACCAAAAAATTTTTTTAAAAAGAGTATTATTGGGTTTTAAAGAACATGCAAGTCCATCACCAAATAAGAATAAGGACTCTTCTTTGGCAATCAAAAAAAAAAAAAGGAGAAGAAAAAAAGAAAAATTAAAAAAGCACAACAAAACCCACATCTACTCTGTGGACACTGCAACTTGCCTCCCTGTTTTAGTTTGTGGAAATGAGAAGTCCTTCTGTCTCAAAGACCTATTCTAGATTCTAGAAAAGAAACCAGCGTCTAGGTGTGCTGGTGCTGTTTGGCTTGGCTGACTTCAAGCCCTCTCCTGTGATTTCCTTCTGCCACTTGTGCGTGAAGCCAGGATGCTGATTTGCAGCTGCCTTTGCCCTGGCAAGTTAACCCCACCGCAGGTCACTCTGTTAATTGCATCCTAACCTTCTCTGGCTTTTCAGCGGTGAAATCACAACAGAGCAAGGCGCAGCTGGATGTGCACTGCTCATTTGTGCCCACGTGAAAAGAACAGCCAAGATGCCCGGAAACCAGCGCACCAGCTTCTGCAGAGCTTGGACACTCCTGAATCAGTCCGAGCACCTCCCATCTGTAAAGTCCATCAGACGCTAGGCTTGGGGGAGAGACCTGTGCTGCTGGAGGACCTGCAAATCTTGGCTTAGTTCTCAGTCCGATTTTTCTTTTCTCCCCCTCAGCTAAGGAGCTCTAAAGAATACGTTTTTTATTTCCATTCAAATGTCTAAGGTAAGAGGCAGAGAGAACAACTCTGCTGCATTTTTTGGCATTGTGTGAGTGTGTGTGTGTGTGTGTGTGTGTGTGTGTGTATGGGTACCAGGGATTGAAGTTAGGGGCACTCGACCACTGAGCCACATCCCCAGCCCTATTTTGTATTTTATTTAGAGACAGGGTCTCGCTGAGTTGCTTAGCGCCTCACCATTGCTGAGGCTGACTTTGAATTTGTGATCTTCGTGACTCAGCCTCCCAAGCTGCTGGGATTACAGGTGTACGCCATTGTGCCCAGCTGAGTGGTTGTTTTTAAAGCCCACCTCCTATTTTGTTCCTGGGCCAGGTACCTGGGGAATCTCTCCAACAGGTCCTTCAATTTTCAAAGCTGCAGAGCATGACCCTCAGAGCCCCTTGTTGCCAATTTTAAATACCAAATTTCTTTTTTTTCTTTCTTTTTTTACTTTCTAGAAGCCATTAAGAATATTCCAGGGAATAATACCTATTAATAGCGGCAAAAGAATCCAACAGCCTAAAGCCACAAGGTGTTAAAAACACCCCACCAACAACGTAACCCAGGAGTTTGACTCTCAGGCCCACACTCTTGGGGATGTGCAGCAGCAGTCCTAGAGAAGTGGTGGGACCTGGCCCTTGTCAGGTGACCTGCATTAATCGGGGGCTAGCACCTGGCTGGGACCCTTTCCTGCCCCTTCCTTTCTTCTCCACTGGCTTGGGTGGGCAGCACAATCCACAGTGCCAGCAACTGGTATCTCCCAGGCCCTGGGACAGTAGCGGAGGAGCTGTCTGAATGTGCCAGGAAGCTTCTGCCAACCTGGCCCGTTAACAGGAGTGGCTCTGCATTAGGTGATCTTTGCAAAATGATGCTCACCCAGAGGGAAGACTCATTAACACTGGGTGAGTCATAGAGAATGCCAAGTTCATGTTTAGAAATGACTCCCTGATGAAGGGAGGCCAGAGCCTTTTCAAATAATTTTTTTCCCCTTTTTGGTGCACACTCCCAAGTCATAAGGTGTTCCTAAGGCCAGAGCTCAGAAAAATCATAAGATCTTGTCTTGGCTGCCTTTCTTTTAAAAATAGATTTGTGAAAACTGTTACTATATCCAGGCAAGACGGACATTAGTGGGACTGACATTCAATCTTCATTTTTGGAGAGCATTTATATGGGAGTGAGATTATAACTCTGTTAAAATAAGATTAATGCTATAATAAATGCTAGCATCCCAGAACAATTGAATAGAAATATAATGAACAGCCACGGCTGGTAAGTGGAAATGTCATCTACAGCCACCCAGGTAGAGTAAGTTACTACCTTTTAGGATTGGGTTGGACTGCGCGTAAAATGAGATCCAGAATGATAGCACCTTCAGTAAGATGGAGATTTCTTTCTTTTTAACATAAAAATCAGGAGGTTCGCGGTCAAGAACTCTGCTGACCCTATCTTTCACTCTTTGCCCCTTTTCTCTGAGTCACGGGGACTTAGCTTATTTCACACACTAGACTCCTGGGAGGTCCATCATCCATCTCTTGTTCCTGTGTTCTTGTGGTTCCACATGGGCTTCTGTTCCAAAGGAAAACTTTTTGGTCCAAGGTGACTGTTTCAGTGCTGACCATCACACTTCTATTCCTGCTAGCAAAAAGGAGGGATTGGGAATAAGTGGCAAAGGGCTGGTTCCTGTTTCTGGAAAATTCTTCCATGAACTTCGACACCACACTTCGACACGTAGTTAGCTCATTGTCCAGGGCTCAGTTTACAGCCACACCTATGTGGATTCTGTTGGCCAGTGCCTGCAAAACTGAGTTCCATGGAAGTAGAGGACGTGCTGGTCACCACGGATGACCTCTGCCCTTGTGTAAGTTCTCAGCAGTTGGGAATTATCTTCTGCTTTCCCTGACCTTTCCACATCCCCAATCTATTTAGTGGATTCCTGAAATCTGTGCTGATCTTCTTAGGTCCTAGTTGTCAAGATGCAGATGTAGGGGTGGCAGTGAAGGGGAATAAGTTAACCAAAATTCCCAATGATGTAAGCTACCTGAGATGTGAGAGTAGATACACTTTTTCTGTAAGTGTCCAGGAGTTGTGAGGTTAAGGCACCAGGATGAGCATACAATGAGCTCATTATATCAGCTGTACCCCCTTTCCTATGGCTTACCTGGGGGTCTCATTTGTCCACATCCAGGTGGGTTCAGGCCATTTCTGCAAAAGATGGGTGTGAGATGGGCTCCTGCCTTTGAGAATCTGGTCAGACTTTGGAGAATTCAGTTCTTCTGCGATTTCTTTTTCTCGGTGTTACTTCCTTAAGCCCCCCTCTTGCTTTGGTGCCAGAATGCTCCCTTGGTAGCCCATGCCATTGTTTTTCATGAAGGGCCACTCTTAGGCATGCCATTTCTGGGTTTAGTCACTTCATCAAACATTGGGGGGCGGATTCCATGAGAAGGCTCCCATGTCAGTCAGCTTTTTGTCACTGTGACCAAAAACACCTGATAATAATTTTAGAGGAGAAAAAAATTATTTTGGGCTCATGGGGTTCAGAGATTAGCCAATGGTGGGTCAAAGTCATTGCCCTGGGCCTGAGGGGAGGCTGAACATTGAGGTCCAAGGGTAGGGTGGAGAAAAGCTTCTCAGCTCATGACAACTGGGAAGGAGAGAGAGAGGAGCCAGGGAACAGACATAGTCTCCAAAGGCATGTCCCTGGAGACCTACTTCCTCCAGTCACACTCCACATGCTGACCATTATTACCCTGTGGTCCATTCAAATGATTAATCCACTGATGAGGTGGGAGGTCTCATAATCTAATCTTCTCACCTCTGAACATTTCTACATTTCCTAACATGTGAACTTTTTGCGGGAACATTCCTGGATCAAAATCGTATCAAAATCGTACTAGCTCAAGGAATGAGGCAGTCTACTGACCCTCCTTGGCTTTTTTCTTTCTCTTCTGTAATAATTTCAGCTTTACTTTTCTAACATGTGATGCCTCAGCATTGACAAATTTCATACCCAAATAATGATGACGGTATTTTGATTTCCCAGGCTATAAGAGATTCTGGAGAACCAGTTTCCTGTTACTGCTGATGTTTTTCAGGCTGTACTGGTAAAAAGCAGAAATTAATCTATACCTCCAGGTAAGGAAGTAAGACCATGATACTCCTGGACATAGTGATAAGAAACCCTCCATGAGCCTGGAAGACAGGGCCTTGGGACCTCAGTGAGTTCATCATCCTAGAAGCAAAGGACACACCATCCTTCAGATGGGACAGTTATTAACAATAGTGTTGATGGGGGTAATGAAAACATCTGCTTCACAGTGAAGTAGTTTGACCATTGGTGGAAGCAATAGAGACGTACTGTGCTTACTGGGTCTGAGTCTCCTTCATTATTGAGCACGTGGACAGACTCCAGATGCCCTGAAAGCAGTTCAAGATCCACCTAGCTAGTTCTGCCTGATGGACTTTGCTGAAGGGGCATTCCATTTTCTTTCCAAGGTAATTAAGAGTTTCCAATGTTCTCTTTTCTACTAGTAGCCAGGTACTGAAATGAGCATCGTGAAATGGAAATCCTTAGATCCCTGAGACACCAGATGGAGGAGAGCCTTGCTGACCTGCATTGGACTTTGCAAGAGTGATATACAAACTTCTATTAGTTGAGCTACTACAACTTTGGGCCTTATTTGTCACTAGTACAACATATCATGTTCTAACAAATACAGACATTGTAGAGTTTATAAAGATTTTACTCAGCACTTCCACTGAGATACTCCTGAACGTTTCATAGATTCCTAAGGTTTGAAGGTCAGGTAGTGTTTTAGAATGTGAAGAATTAGATGACTTTTTGTGTTCCTCGCTTGTTTCTGTTTTTTTTTTTTTTTCCTTAAGTGACCATCATTTCAAAGAGACTAGGCAATAAGGTGACAGGTACTGAATAGAAACACCAATAGACAGAATCAGAGCGTTTGATAGGTCAATTTCCTGAAAAACCCCTTGAGCCTAGGCTTGCCTAATTGATATGCTTTCCTAGGATTGTTCAGCCCCACCCGGGTGCTCCTGCAGGTCAGTTAAAAGGAGAGTGCAGTGTGGAATCCGTATGCTCCCTTCTGCCTTGCAAGCAGCCCAGAAGCCGAAGCTCTGTCTCCATTAGTAATCACCAAACATAACAATTAAACACACATCACGCCAGGCTAGAGAATCCCTGGAGGATGCTCCGTGTCCATTCTGTTATGGTCTGAAATCTGATCTAAATATTGGCCAAATAGGACTGATGGTTGGAGAAGGAGGAGGAGAGGGGTTAGCCATGCTAGATGCCGCAGTCTGGCTGGGCACACAATCACGAGCCACCACACAGCTTGTAGATTCAAACAGCAACTCTTTATTCCCGAACTCACACCAGCCGTCTACAATCACGTTCTGGGGAAATCCACGTTCTCTGCCCAAATCCACCTCCACTGGGCTTCTATCTCCAAAATATATTGTCTGAATCCCGTGAGAACTCAAGGGGAACTCAGGCAGCAGGATACGCCCTATTCTCAGCAGGAATAATCTTAAACCTTAAACCTGGAACCTAAACTGGGAACGCCCTAAACACCATTATCTTAAAACCGGGAACACCCTAATCTGCCTTGGTCCTTGAGCAAGGTCACGTACATTCAATGTCACTGCAACATGTCAGCAACATGGGGTACGCTGGCAAGGAAATTGTCATACCTACTTGGCTAATGGCTCCCAGCAGCTAGAGAGAATTTGAATAGCAGAGAATCCACATATTCTGCTCTTGGAGAGTCAAAGAGTGCCTAAGACTCTTCCTAATGAAGCATGAAGTGAAAATTTATTGATCTAATGGTGACTATGAGTAAAGAGGGGACATGTCAATCAGTTGAAGAGATTGTTATCTAAAAACTCATTCTGGCCATGAGGAAAGAGTACATGGATCCCTGTCAGTTCCATCTTCTCTAGCACAGCTCTCTGAATGACATGCAGAATGGCCAGGTCTGGGACAGGTAAACCTGCATGTGCCTCCCCTTGGTGATCTGAGTTTAATTCTCTGTTCCATATTCACTCAAGCCAATTCCAGCTCATACGGACATTCCAGCCACAGAACAGCAGCTGTCCATCTTGGATGTCCCAAGTGGCTAGTGAACGTGCAAGTAAAAAATTCTGCTTCTGAATATTTCCTGTGCTACTTCTAGAAAATTCCTTTCTATGGAATGATGCACAAAACTAACACTGGGATAGAAGAGGGTGTACTATACTTCATTAAAACTAAAACCCCTTTCTCACACTCACAACTAGGGAGAGAGAGGTCCTGTCTAACTAAATGCTACCTTTTCAATATGACACCCAGAGCTTCATCCTCGGACCCTCCTTAGTCTGACATCTCTTGGGAAGGGACAAGTATGTCTTGACCTGGGGCTTTTCAGGTACTTTCATGTGAGGCTCAGTAACCCAGCCCTAGCAGATGAATACTCCAAGAGTTCCTTCCTGGGCCCACAGTAACCGTTCTCCATGTGGATGGGCAGCCAACATTTCCTTGGCTTATTAAGAAAGGGCAGACTAGCAAATGTAATCTTCCTTTTACTTTATAGGATGCTTTCCTGGAGACTCCTTGTAGCCTGACTCTGAAGAGCAGCAGCCTGGGCTTAAGCCTGTTCCCCCAATGAGTCTCTTTTTCCCTGGGTACAATCCTGTGATTGCCATATTTCAACCTTCTGTGACTTTCCAATCAGCTATTTGATTGCTTGACTAGAAACTGAAGCTATTCCAGCCTGGATAGTATGGTCTTAGGATTTCCACAACCAACTTTCCTCTAGAAGAATATTGGGAAGGGTTTGTGAGCAAGTCGTAAGATCAGAAAGGAGCACTGGAATGAGTGTCAAAGGTATTGTAAACTGAGGCAAGTTATTTCACCTCTTTGAACCTTATTCCCATTAACTGTACATAAGATTAAGGTTGCTTCTAAGTAGCAAGTCATAGAAGCCGTAAAAACCTCTGCATCCAAGGAGAACACTCATATTGGTAAACGTGCAATTGTCAGAGTTTCACCTGGAAATTGCATGATCTTGGTCTCATATTTGAAGACACACACATTCAGGAATTTAGTCACAGGGCTTGCATGCTGGCTAACTCTCAGCCTTCCCCCACCAAAGTAGATTAATTCACGCACACTCCAATCAAGCAAAGGCGTAGGCTGGAAATTCTCAGAGAAATTTGGATTTCGTACAGCTGATATGGTTATTTTGAGACATTTCAAATGGAATTTTTTTCATGAATGATTTAAGCTACTATTTGTTTAGTGCTGGTTGGGCAGAAATCAATTCAAATAAAAAGGTTTGGGTCAGTGTACCCATTTGAAGAACAGGCTTTATTCCGCCCCCCCCCCACCTTTCTTTTTATTCCCTTTTTATTTATTCTAGAACCATAGCAATTAGAAGAATCACATCATGAGTTTGGGCAAAAAAGTCAGTTGATCCTGACCCAAAAGTAATTGAAAAGCAAACCATCAAAACCTTCCTACCTCAAAAAGAGGATTTTTGAGGAAGCAATGTATGAATATAACATATCTTACAAAGTGAAATAAGCACAGGGGATAAACTTTCCATGTATGCAATCCTTCAACTGAGATTTTCCTCACATGTGTGTCATTACCTTGATCAAATTGAGAGTTGACCAGGGACTCAATAAATTTGGAGCATTTAGGGAGCATCAGGTTCTCACTTCAGATTCACAATTTCTGAATTTCCTTTCATATTTTCAAGTTGGTAGTCCTTAGAGGAGATTAGGTACTGCATTTTGGCAATGGAATATGGAAGAGCTATGATTCTGGGTTCTGTAAATTCTTCTTGACCATAGATATGTCCTAGTTTTAGCTGTGATTACAATCTCACGGATCAAGCTCTCTTGATAGAATGTACATTTTATTGAGAGGTCAATCCTCAAAATTCATGTCTTCAAGATGCTTTTCAAATGTTCAGATTGTGTATATAGGCTTAGTTTATACCCTTAACCCCCAAATGAAAATTCTGGCAATCTTATTAGACTTCTCACAAAGCAGGTCTTTCAAGCTTCCCCAACACATGTGAAAACTGGTTTTTATGAAGATCCAAGACCAGCCAGGAAACTTCAGCAAAGGCTAGATTTCAGAAAAGCAGATCTTCAGTTGTGCAAAGGACATTGCTAAACTTCTGGGTTGGAAGGTATCCTGACATACCTAATTCTATTTATGAAAATGCATATGTGCTTTGAAACTCCATTTAGATCCAGCTCTTTCAGCTAGAGATGAAAACCATATGTGTGTCGAAGGCCCTTATGTTTTTGCCTTGGAGAGTCTTAGATTTTGTTTTGATTCCCAACTCAGCATCATTTTCAGATTTGGAGGCATCCTGGGTATATCCTTGACCCCCAGTGTCATGCGGAAATATTTTTGTTATCCCTTCGTACTCTTCTTAGATGATACTCATTTCCATATGTTGAAGAAGGTGTTGTGGCCTTTCATCCTCACAATGTTGTTCTAGGAAAACTAGAGATCGGAAGACAATATGTGAACTAGGCAGGCTCACAACCTGATGCATAGGTAAATAGTAATTTATTCACCATTTAATATCAATTCATGAGGTCTTCCTTTCTCCCTGATTTATTGTTTCTTTTATGTGGTGTAGACCTAAGCTTCTGCTGTACCGCGGATCCAAGAATGGTGGCCATACCCCATTGTGAAGATGACTCGCTGTCTACCAATTCTAGTTCCCATTCTTCCAGGTAATAATCCAGATGTGGCCTGGCATGTGGCTTATCAGCTGGGGACTATGTTTCAAGAGCTCCTTGCAGGTATGTCTGTATAATTTGCTGCCAAAATGATGTGAGATGCTATAATGGAGATATTGGTAGGCCTAGATCCTAACACACAGTCTCTCTCCGGTTGGTGGCAAAATAAAGAATAGCTTATGACTGGGGCTGGGGTGGTGGCTCAGTGGTAGAGCGCTTGCCTAGCATGTGTGAGGCACTGGGTTCAATTCTCAGCACCTCATATAAATAGATGAATAAAATAAAGGCCATCAACATGTAAAAACATTAAAAAAAACTAAAAAAAAAGAATAGCTTATGACTGGTTTTAACCAAGCAAATGAGGGTGATACCCATGGAATGGTGGAGAAAGTGGATGGAAGCAACCAAAGTCCCTGACTTAGTCCATGTTCTGCTGCTATAACAAAATACCCAAGATTGGGTATTTTGCAATTTATAAAGAAAAGAAGTTTATTTGGCTCACAGCTCTAGAAGTCTGAAGGCATGGTTTTGGCATCTGGTGAGGGTATTTTTGCTGCATCACAACATGGCAGGGAGCATCACATAGCAAGATAGAGCAAGGTGCTACTTTAGGTCTTATGTTCTATTCTTACAAGACCATTAATGCTATAATGGGAGCCTCGCCACGCCACCACAACCTCATTAAATTCTCATTGCCTTCCAAAGACCCCAGTCCAAATGCCATTAACATACAAATTTGGGGATAAACATTTCCAACGCATGAACTTTTGCAGACACATTCCAACCTTAGGTCTTCTAATAACTGCAAGGAAAAGAGTGCTGTGCCTCTCCGTCCTGGACTATTGTTTGAGAGAGGAAAAGAGTTTCACTGTCCTTAAAATTAGCTTTGCCTCCCTGAAATCATATGTAGATATCAGGGCTCATTCATGAGAATTAAAGGGGAAAAATTTATTCCACTTTTAAAAAAAATATATATATATATTTTTAAATTTTTTGGCATAGAAGCAAGAGAGATTCCTAGGCTGTGCTGTCATGGATTCAAAAGGAAATCAACTTTCTGTCATATGTATATATAATCTCCTAAGATCTACCAAATACAACAGTGAAGGAAGGAAGAGTCACCTTTGCCACTGTAAGTTCAAAGAATTAAAAACAAGTGCTGTCAAATCACAGATTGAAACTGTGGAATTTTACCCACCAAAACCCAGGGGCTGCCCCCGACAGTCTGCCACCCTGGAAGGTGAGCTCATGAGAGAACCTCCACTGACCGTCTTCTCTCCAAATTATCGTGGTACCTTTAACTCCTCATTTTTACATATACAGGCTTTCACTAAAGGATGTTTTGAAACAGTTATTGCCTCCATCATTAATCTGATTTTTAAAAAAATTTCATAAATTGAGATTAAATGACAACCTAACAAAGCAGAAGAATAAAGAGTTTCTCTGTAAAATAAATGTTTAATGTTCCTTCTGAGTACTACCATGATTTAGAAAAAACCACACTGACCAGTCTGACCAATCTTTCCGGAATGCATCTGTACATGTAGACATATCTCGTCTGACACACGGTGCATGCTCAGTAAGCAGTGACTATGTCCAAAGGTTGATGGCATCTTGCCAGAGGTTCTCATTACTATTTATAGTTATCTGGGTCACTGCTTGGTAGTGGAACCAAAGATGAAGATCTGTGGTCACCAGAGTGAAGGAGGTACCACCAGCCATTCAGATTGGTTTCTTGCTAACTTTTCTCAAGATTAGGAAGAACTGCTAAGGTGCACCAAAGGTATTTATGATCTCAAAAAGTTAAGACGTTTTTAAACATAATGGAAAAATATTCTACATTTTGTTTTTTTGCTTGTTTTTTTCTATAATTATATTATCTCAGGACTTGTTCTTGAATCTATGCATCACATTTGATTGACATAGTATAGAATCCAAGGACATGTTTGAATGCACAAATTCATTTTCAGTGGGATTATGTCAATGTTATTTGAATGATAACCAGTGGCATTGAATATGGTAAAAAAAAAAACATTGTAGACAGATTCATGTTGTTGTTGTTGTTGTTCTTCTTCTTCTTCTTCTTCATTGTATGGTTTAATAGGTGGAGCGATGGAGGGGTTTTGCAAAGTCTGGCAGTAGTGAGAAAAATAATGTAAGTTATGATGATAAAGCTAGTGATGGTTGTATGAAGTTTCTATTTAGTTTTCCATGCACTTATGATTTTGAAGACAAGTTCCTCATAACCAGAGTTGAATCTATTTTAAAACCTGATTTAGGAATGGTTTTCAATGATAATATTGACTATCTGAATTAGTCCAATTTTCATGGCAATAATGAAATACCTGAGGCAAGCTAACTTTATAAAGAAAAGAGGTTTAAAGAAAAGAGGCTTCTTTAGCTCATAGTTTTGGAATCTGAAAATTCAAAGAGCGTAGTGCTGGATCTGGCAAGGATTCCATGGCCAATGGTGGGAACACATGTAGAAGAAGAACCATATCTAGAAATAAGAAGCCAGAAAGAGATTTGGGGGTTAGGGTTAGGCTTTTATGATGACTTGCTCTTGGAGAACTCACTCCAGGAGACCAACATTCCCTTCCAAAGGCAGTGCCCCTAGTGATATAAGGACTTCCACTAGCTCCATCTCTTAAAAGTTTCCTTCAGCTCCCACATTGCCACTCTGGGGACCAAGGTCCCACCTCCAATCCATGGTACCATCTGAGTCATGCTCATGACTTAGGATGGTGCCCAGTGTTGCTTCAGAAAGTCAGCTGATTGGGAAGATTTGGCAATAGGAGACATGAGCATCCTCAGAACCTATTGGTTTGGCAGTGATATGATTCAGGTAGAGAAGTTCCGAATGATATACTACAGCGATCAGTATCAATTAAAAAGTTGAGCAAACTCATTAGGTCACCTAGATGACAAAGCCCCATTGTACATTATATAGACATATTTTTATTTCTGCGGCTTCTTATTTTCACAAAGCCATATATAACACAGTTGTGTTTATATTAAAAAGTAGATAGTTAATTTTTCACAGGACCCAAATTTCCCCTCTTCACCAATAACCTGATTAATTTATATTAAATACCCAGAATATTAAATAAACATGAGTGCTGACTTATCTGAGAATACCAATAAGTATTTTTGGGTTGGCAAAGCTAAGAGAACACATGCAGTCAGGATCTTATTAAAGCATTTTATGAGTAAGGGCAACTTTTAATCATCTATGGACACATTAGTTTCTTTGGCTCTGGGACAGGTGATTTTATCCCAAGTCTGGCTACTCCCCACTTGGCTATGAGGAAGAACAAGGGTATGTGGGGGAGTGGATTGGTATGTAGCTGTTCTAATTCAAGGTAAGACAATGTGCACCTTCTCTTCTGATACAGGTGGACAACATCTTGACTCTACGTGGAAGATATGTTTCTCAGTTTGTCGAGAGCCACAGCCGAAGGGGCCCCAGCAAACTTCCAGCTGCCAGCTGATTGGCTCCTCTGCGGTGATGCTCATTGGGCTGTTTCCCCGCCCTTTCAGACCACGGAGCTGCTCATTGGGGGGGCTCTTTTGGCTCCACCCACACGACCCAGCCAATCGGCCTCCAGAGCAGGAGGAGTGGGGGTTGAGAGGCTCGCTGGAAGCCGGTGGTGGCAGTTGGGCCCTGAGGGAATTCCTGCAGAGCTCCTGTGGTGCTGCGTGTGCTCTAAAAGTAAAGTTCGTTTCTGCTTGACAAGTGGCTCGTGAATTGTGCCCAGCCAGACTCCTCCATCTTGGGCGGCCCCTTTGAAGTCTCCTCATTTCCCGGATCCTGGGTTTCCCCTGCTCCCTTGATTTCACCGTAGTATTACCCTTGCTGGGGACTTGCATGCATTCCTGCACCCCATATCTGGCTCTGCCCTAGACTTAAGATGCATCTTCAGATTCACTTATTCAGCGGCATCTGCACTTGAATGCGCCACGGCACCTCAAATTCAAAGATGTCTAAGCCTGACTTTATCACTTCACCATCACCTCTTCCTTCAAAATCCACACCTCTGCTGACCTTCTCTCTCCCCATGGTTCGCCCAAGACTGCAGCCTTGTAACCCCTCCCACCACCAACTGGTCACAGGTGGGTCAGATCTCCACCTCCCCTGGCTCTACTTTGTGAGAGCCCACCATCAATCCCCGCTTGGTCTTCCCTTTAAATTTCTGATATTTCCTCCGAGCAGAGGATTCAAGCAATTCCCCAGCGCATACTTCCCCTCATGGCATTTACCTTGGTTTGTAAGGATATATTGATGTGAAGAGGTCATGCCCTTCTCACTTTATAAATGCCAGCTGCAGGAAAGCTTGGACTGGACCCATCTGGGCTCTTGTTGTTTCATTATTCAGCCCACAGTAGAAGTTCAGTTCATGTTTGTTGAATGAATAATTGAATCAGTGTGACTTCTTCCTGTGGTCTAACCAACCATCTCTCTCTCTCTCCCTCTCTAGGGTCTTGTGTTTCTCTATTGTTTGCCGTCTTGAAAAACGGAGTGGATATTTTACAATGCGTCTAAGTGTGCCACGCGTGTCCCTACGCGACATCCACCCGAGAAGGATGAAGGATGAGTCTTGCACACAGTTTATGCAGGACCTGGCCCCCACTGGTGTCTCCAGCTGCATTTCTTGTTCTCTTCCACCTTCATCTTCTTCTTATCCCACATTCTTCCAGCCCTGCCAAGGACTCCTCACCCTCCAGGTCTGAGGAATCTGTCTGCAAAGCTCCAAGTGGCTTCACCACCCACTGTTGTGCCTCTACTGTAACTTGCAGGTGTCGTGACACGGACTACGACACTGGTCTGTCATGTGGTTTTTCACTGTTGTACTGAAGTTTCTTGAGGCTGGGCCTGCAGGAAGGCTGAGTGTTATGGTTTGGATGTGAGGTGTCCCCCAAAAGCTCACATGTGAGACAGCGCAAGAAGGTTCAGAGGAGACATGTCTGGGTTGTGAGAGTCTTGACCCAACCAGTGAATTAATCCCCCTGTGGGGATTAACTGAGTGGTAACTGAGGTGGTGGGGTGTGGCTGGAGGAGGTGGAGTTGGGGCATGGCTTTGGGGGTACATATTTGTGTCTGGTGAGTGGAGTCTCTGCTTCCTGGTCAAGATGTGAGTTTTTGCTTCCCTCTGCCACACGCGCCTGCCATGATGTTCTGCCTCACCTCAAGCTCTGGGAATGGAGCCTTCTGCCTATGGACTAAGACCTCTGGAACCATGAGCCCTTCAATAAACGTTTCCTCCTCTATACTTGTTCTGGTCGGGTCCTTTAGTCACAGCAGCAGTGACAAAGCTGACTAAAACCAATGATGAACACCTCACTCAGCTCACGGTGACAGGACACGTGGTGCTGTTGTGGCCCAGGGACACATGGTGGAGTGATAACAAGCTGGTCATCTTTCCATTACTGTGACAAATACCTTAGAAAATCAACTCAGAAAACCAAACACATTTAAGCTCAAAGTTGTGGAGGGTTCAGCTCGTGACTGGCCCTGTTGCTTGAGATCCGTGGTGGCACAGTGCATGGTGGTCACAGTCCCTCTTTGAAGGCACGCTCCAGTTACCTAAAGACCTCCTGCTGGGCCACACCTTTCTATGGCTCCACCCCCTCTCAGTAGTGCCAAAATGGAGACAAAGGCTTCAACACATGGAACTTTGTGGGACATTTTAGATCCACCTAAGGGTGGCCACCTTAGGTCAGCTGGCCCTGGGAAGGCTCCTCTCAGCTGAACTGCATTCTCTTGATTCTCCCTGGAAGTCCTCTTTAGTAGTTCATAGAAGAGTGGGATTAAAAGTGAGGATACAGGTGATGATGCACAAGGGAAGAGAGGAGTGAAGGGGGGCTACAGGAAGTACAAGTACTGAGGCCATTGGCACACAGCTGGCCCTCTCCCTGCTCCTCCTGCAAGCCATCGTGACCAGTTGTTCCAGAATACGACTCTAGGGCATGTGACGAGATCCCAGGCTTTTTTGGGGATGTGTCTGTTGTGTGAAAATGGTAAAATTCTTTTAAGAATCAGAAAATATGGGTCTTCATTCCAACCATGACTTGAATTTGTGATTCTAACTCTGGCAAATCACAGAACCACCCTGGTCTTCATTCCTTCTCTTTTCCTCACCCTGCTTAATTGGAGTTGGTGTTGTTTCTGGGATGGTCTTGCCTTTTTGGTAACCAGGTTAATTTTTAGAGGAGGTGAAGTTTGGTTTGTATTTGAAAAACTGAAGAATTATCCAGGAGACCTCCTGTTTTCACCTATTTATAACATATAGAAATTGTGTCAGAGTCAATGCTTTATCAAAACCCAAACTAAAGCAATATTAGGAAAGTATTAGTGAACACATTTCAGAGATTTTTTTTTCAGTTAAGTTAGAGATGGATAATATTTGTATTTTGATGTATAGTGTTGCAGGGTTTTGATAATTATCAGTGGGTCAAAAACACATAACGCTACATGCCCCAAAATATAATGGATATAAAGATAATAGAAGTAAAAAAAAATTAAAAAAGAAGAAAATATTGCTAATTTACCCCTTGGTAAGTGCTGAATAAACTTGAGTCGTGATTCTGTGTGTACCAAAGACCCATCGTTATCCACGCTCAGGTCACGTCAATATTTAATAGTGAGTTCAGCTCTGAAACAATAAAAATGAGTTGCACTCTTAGGTTCACTTTCAGAACGAGTCAGCAAACATTTCTCCACTCTTCCAGACACAGAGGTAGTTTCTGGGGATAAAAAAGTGCTCACAACCCATCTTGGCTTTTGAGGAACTCAGAATCCCGGCTGGGAGTTGCTTGCTTGTGATTTCCCATGGCTGCTGTGACTGATGACTACGGACTTAGTAGTTTGCTTAAAGCAACACAAAGATATCATTGTGCACTTAAGACAGCTGAAAGTCCAGAATGGATCTCACAGGATTAAAAAACAGGTATGGGAGCCTCTAGGGGAGAATCAATTCCTTGTTTTCTTCAACTTCTAGGGGCTGCCTGCATCCTTTGGCTTGGGGCTGCACCTCAGGACCTCTGCTCTATGGTCACATCCCCTGTCTGAGTCTGACCCTTCAGCCCCCTAAAGACCTTTGATTCAATTGGGCCCCTTCTCTGAATTCAGAACAATATCCTTATCTCCAGGTTCTTTATCATGTTTTCTTTTGCTTGGAAAGGGGACTTGTCTGCTGGTCTGGGGAACAGGAGGGGGAACATCTTGGGGGAAGTTCTTCAACTTTCCAAAGTAGAATTTACTAAACCATCTGACGCCGGTCTATAGTCCACAGTCAGAGTCTTCCCTGTTGGTAAATAGCAGGCAGGCAGCTGGCCCCATTCTATAAACACAAACCAAACCATGACACGATAAGCAAAGGAAGATGAGGTCTGAGAGGCATTATGCAGGCATCCGAGGAAGTCAAGTCTTTGGATTGCAGTAGACATTGACACTTGGCTTTGGAATACGACTATGAGTTCATCAAAGAAATTATGGTATACAAAGACGAGGAAGCATGGAGGAATTTGGTTTGTTTAGGAGGAAAGGGAAAAAATAGTTGGGTAGTTAGGGTTTTGCTGAAAAGTGTGTGTATAGGGTCAGGCTGGTGGTCATGGGTAATAAGAGGCCTCAAACTGAGCAGGGAAAGAATGACCCCCCCAGGTCAGATTCCCAGGGCAGACCCACCTTTGGGGATGATCAGAGACAGTGTAGGAAGTGAAGGAGACCAAGCCTATAATGACCCTCAGGAGGAGACCTGGAGAAAGTGGGTTGGTGGAATCACAGAAGAGAGTCTAATAAGTAGGTGTTGGCTTTAATATTTTTTTTTTGAGATAGGAATCATGCTTATTTTCCTTCTGTAAGAATTATTCTTAGAAAATAATGATTTTTTTAAGGAAATTCACTGAAAAAAAATTAGCTAACATTCTTTGGTCCTGCCACTGAGTTTAGACCAACCATAACCAAAGTGGGTACCCAGTGAGTATTACCTGTGAAACTCCACTTACTCCACAGTGCTTTCCCCACCTCTTTGAAGGGCACTTTCTCTCAGTTACTTTCTCACCCCAATCTTCAATAATAATTTTAGTGGCTTTATCACTGTTAGGGGAAATCTGGTAACTATCAGAGAGGACAGAGGAACCACATCATAATGACAAAGTAGAAAAGCCTTGGAGCAAGTGTTTGGATGACTGGACCCAAGATCTAATTCTTCCTAATGACTCAAAGGTTGTAGGTAAATGAAACACTTTAGATTAGTGTGGTTAAGAAAATTGACTCCACTTCAGAATTTATGGATTAGGATTTCCAGAAATGAAGTCCCTACTTCTCCAAATTGTCTTATTTGATTAAGTGCCTTGGTGGAAGTTGTTGATTTGAAAGTCAAATTTCCTGGGTTTACATCCCTGCTCAAACCTGCTCACGAACTGTGTGACTTTGGTCAAGTTTGTCAACTTCTCTGTGCCGTGGTTTCTTTACCTGAAAAATGGGGATAAAGATAGAGTCCATCCTGGAGTCTGGATGCTCCCCGAGGCTGAGTGTGAACAGGAGTGAGGGATAGGGACAGAAAGAGTGCCAACCCAAGGACATGCTTGTTACAAGGGCTATGGCTGTGGGTGACAGACTGCTCCAATATCAGGGACTTGATCTGTCTAGGAAAGACACAGTTTTAGTCACTGTAACGGAACTTTCCATTGTTGTGACCAAATGCATGAAAGAACAATTTAAAGGAAGAAAAGTTTATTTTCGCTTATGGATTCGGAGATCCAGTCAAGGGTGTCTGACTCCTTCGCTCTGGACCTGAGCGGGGTAGAACATGGTGGAAGGGTGCAGTGGAGGAGAGCAGCTCAGGCCACAGCAACCAGGAAGCACAGAGCGCCACGAACCTGGGACAAAATAGGAACCCTAAGGGCATAGCCCTGGGACATCTCCTCCAGCCACACCCCACCTGCCTACTACTTTTATCGCCCAGTTAACCGCCATCAGTTGACTAGTGCACTAGGGTGGAGTTGCTCAAAACCCAATCATTCACCTCTGACGTCGTTTCAGAAATGAGCTTAGGGGGGACACCTCACGTCCAGACTCTAACATAGACACTTCACTTTGATAAACCTTTTATAATCTTCTGAACCCCCTCCTCTTCCTCATCTCTAGGCCAACGCTATCCTCTTATGCCCTTTTTTTTTTTGGCTGATGGCCATCCTGGTCCCAACTCCAAGGGACCATACAGAGTAGGTACGGGGACTAATGAGTCAGCACGTACATTGCATTCTCTGCCCTGGTATTTTTTTCCCCCTGCCTCCCTGTCCATTCTGATTTCTCCAGAGGATGGGCTCCAGGACCCCCCTGAACACCCAAACCCATGAATGCTCAAGTCCCTTATGCAAAATGGTCTAGTATTAGCATAGAACTTACACACTTGAAATCATCTCTAGATGAATAGAGCACCTAATAGAAGGTACATGCTTATAAGTAGTAGTTAGCCTGTATTGTTCAGGGACTAACGATGGAGGGAGAAGTTGGGCATGTGTAGTGTAAACCCAAGGATTTTCGAGTATTTTCAGCCTGAGGTTGGTTGAATCCACAGACCTGGGTGCCGCCGTCTGGCTGGGCACAAATCACGAGCCACTGAAGCAGGAACAAACTTTATTTCTGAACTCCACCAGCACACTCCACACACGCTCCCGGGAACTCTCCCAAACGCCACGTGGCTCCTCCAGGAACCACCAGCCAGAAATCCCTCCTCCGGAAATTCCTCCTCCCGCACTTCCCCAACCAATGGGAACTCTCCGGGAATCCCCGCGAGAACTCCAAAGCAGCAGGCAGAGGCGGACAGCAGGGGTCTAATATATAAATGAATACACAGCTTAACATAACCATCATCATCTCAATGGCTTGCTGGCATCACCTCTCAACCACCCCGTTCTGGCAAAAATGCCATGCGTCATTCCGACTCGGCTATGGCTCTCAGCACCTGGGGGGCTATTGCCATGTTCTGCCACACTGTCGGTGTGTAAGCTATTTCCGTTCACACCGGGACTTTATTTCTCCACCCAGGCTCTGCTGGGCATGAGAGCTGGCATGGAGGCAGGTGAGGAGGAAGAAAGCATCTCTGTGAAGCACGCCCCGGGGCAGCTCTCTGTGGGCCAACAGGTGGCCCCTCTGCCATCAAGGAACAAGCACTGCTTCTGCCCACTCAGAGCTTCGGGGAATCTGGGCTTGAGAGTCTCAGGCTTATCTGACAGCCTGTGGCATCTTCCTAAGGTCTCAGGGACTGCTCTTCCCTACCTGTGCCCTGACTGCAGCAGGGGACACCAGCCCTGGCTGTGGGCTCAGTCCTCTTTGCATTCCTGCCCCCTCAGCAAGACCTTGACGTGACTGTGAACCTGTACTGAGCTGAGAGTTGGCTGAACTGAGCCCGTAGCTCTGCCTTCCCTGCCTTTTAAGTTTCTCATATTTATATCCATTTAATTTAATTTTTTAAAATTAATAGGCTTTATGTTTTTAAGGAACAATTTTTTTTACAGAATAACTGGGAGGGAAGTCCAGAGATTGCTCATCTCCCTTCCCACCCCCATGAACAGCCCCCTGATCACTCACATTTTGTCCTGGGGTACATTTCTTTTTTCTTTTTTAAAAAAATTTTTTTTGAGAGAGAGAGAGAGAGAGAATTTTTTTAATATTTATTTTTCATTTTTCGGCGGACACAACATCTTTGTTTGTATGTGGTGCTGAGGATCGAACCCAGCACCCCACGCATGCCAGGCGAGCGCGTTACCACTTGAGCCACATCCCCAGCCCCTGGGGTACATTTCTTATAACCAATAATCCAACATTGGCATATTATTAACTGAAGTCCATATTTTTCATCAGGGTTTACAGTGTACGTTCTGTGGGTGCTGATAAATGCTTAGTGACATATACAGTTACCTTTGCTGTTGTTGTTGTTCAAGGTTTCCAAATCAAGGAGCAAAGCCCAACTCACATCAAGTGCCATGAATATCACTAAGCTGATAATTCACCTTCTGCATGTCCCTCATCTCAGGGACCGACTGTATGACCCCACCTGCCCCCAGCAATGATATCTTGATTGCCATCTGACTGGTTAGGGGCCCAACTATATTTGTTTATTTGTGCTGCCATATCAACTATCACAGATAGGGTCACTTGAATAACAGAAAATTATCTCTCCCAGCTCCAAACCCTGTGAGTCTAAGATCAAGGTGCTGAGTCAGAGTTGGTTTCTGATGGTGAGGACTCTCTTCTGGGCTAGTAGGTAGCCAGAAGCCTCATTGCTGTGTCCTCACATGTGTGCACATGCAGGGAGATGGAGGTGAGAGAAAGTCACCCTGAGCTCACTCTCTGTGTCCCTGCTTACAGGCACGTTAATCCTCAGGGTCCAGGGGTCACCCTTATGACCTCACTTAACCTTAATTATTTCTGTCAAGAGACAACTTTTTTTTTTTTTAAAGAAAAATATAGTCACATTGGGAGTTAGGGCTTCAACATATTAGTTTTTGGGGTGACACAAATATTCTGTGTATAACAACAAAGATCCTCACTCGGGTTCCCCCAAAGGGGAGTCAAGACCAAGATGAATGC